CTGCAAAATCTCCATTCCCTCCACACTCCCGGGGAGGGATACTGCAAAATCCCCATTCCCTCCCCACTCCTGGGGGAAGGATACTGCAAAATCCCCATTCCCTCCCCATTCCAAGGGAAGGATACTACAAAATCTACATTCCCATCCCACCCTGGGGCCAGCCAGAGGTGGTATTTGCCAGTTGTCTGAACTACTCAAAATTTCTGCTACCGGTTCTCCGGAACCTGTCAGAACCTACTGAATTTCACCCCTGAACCTGTGGCTCTGGAGCTGCATGTGGCTCTTTCATCCCTGTGGCTCAAAATATGCGTCACAACCACCAATGTGCGACACCCACCGGCACGCAATTTATTGAGCTTTTCGAACGCCCCCGGTAGTCCAACCATGGATAAATCCAGGAAAATAAAATTTCAGAAGAAAAGAGAATGTTTAATTCAACTACATACACTAGTTTTGTGGCTGCTCAGGAAATAATTAGGCACGGGAAGGATTTTTGTGGCTCCTGGTGGGTTCACCGACAAAAGGGTGACCGGCTAAACCACGTGACAAAACCACGAGTTCTAAACAGCGCCGACAAATGAGCGCTGAATCGCGCCGACAACAGCGCGCTGACAGAAGCGCACTGTAAACCTAAACCTAACCCTAACTCTAACCCTAAACCTAACCCTAAACCTAATCCTAAATCTAACCCTTACCTTAACTTAAATTGCACTTCTGTCGACCCGCTGTTGTCGGCGCGCTGTTGTTGACGTCGCGGTTTTAGCACCTCGTTTTTGTCAGCGTGCTTTTGTCGTGCGCGCATTTGTCGGGTCACGCTCCCGGTGTCCCTTCCACTTTGTTATTCTACATTCGGTGATAGTGAGTCTCCCTGAAAAATTCCTCTCTCGATATTAATTTCTCCGAATCTATCAACATCGACCAACAATTGTGTCTTACGCTGTGCTGTTGATCTTGGCACCAAGCTTTTGATGTTTCGACGGTTATTCCTAGGCACTTGATTATCAATCTTAGACGGTCAAATGCCTTTTTTGTAGTCAATTCATGCTACTGTGATGGTCTTCCTTCTTCTCTTGCAGTTTTCCAAAATCACCTTATCCGTTAGGAGAGTGGTACAGTAGCCCACAGGTGGAGCTCTCGCCTCATAATATGGGGGGCTGTGAGTTCGATCCTAGGTAGAGGCTGATATTTCTCTCTCTCTGAGCACAATGAGAATATATCTGCTGAACAAAACTCCCCATTGGTGACAGGAAAGGCATCGGGCCAGTAAACACTCAGCTCCATTCAGTTGCTAAAACTCCACCCTGCAAGTGATTATGGGGTCGTTAAATGGAGACAATGATTTTATTAGCTGATCTAATAAAGCCGAGGTGGCACAGTGGTTAAATGCAGCACTGCAGGCTACTTCAGCTGACTGCAGTTCTGCAGTTCGGCTGT